CGCAGATTAAATCGGAATAAATAGAATGTTCTTTATTTTTTATGCTGTCAGATATAAACTTTATTTATTTGATACAGTATGGTATCAGAAATAACAGCGAAAAAGTAGCATGGGACGGGATTAAGTCGTTACGGGACGGGACGGGATAGGTTTTAGAAAATTTCTGACGAGACGGGACGGGACGAGGTCCTTACGGGACGAGACGGGACGGGACGTCAAAAAATCTTGTCCCGCGCACCTCTGGTAGGCTCTCAAAAGATTTGCATCCGAAATTTTCCACCAAATTTAGATGAAACATTTTTCTATAATTGTTTTCATTTTAATCAACAATATACGCCAAACAGCATAAAAGTGTTCAAATCAAGAAAGAAAAATATTGGTTCATCGGGTGTTTTACTGACATATACCACTGATGTAAATATGGCAGATCAGGCATTTCAGATTGTTAATAATTACCTTATTCAACATGTTCCACCATTTTTTATTCGTGTTAGTGAAAAAAATGCGGCTTTAATGAAATCAGTTCAACCATTAATACAACATGAAAGCCAACCGTGTGAAAAAATATTCACTGTTTTGTTTGGCTCTGCAAATGATGCATGTCAAATGTACGAAATGACTAAAGGTGATAAATCATTAAATCCAACAACAGCATCCACAGTTATTGTAAAATATCCACATTTATTTCCAGAATTAGATAATTTTATCAAAAAGCGGCAGAATTAAATCAAGTTCAACATCGAAAAAAGTTATCGAGGCAAAACCCAACAGGTAATCAAGATAACCGACATGAAGATAGAATTGAAGTTCAATTCCATAGAAATAACCCACTTGCAACAGCAAAGGCAGCCAGCATGTTAGAAGCTGTAACCAGTTCACTTACCATCACACTTCATAATGGTGAGCAAACCTCATTATATAAAGAATTATACGATGAAAAATATTTGGACAAATGGACGAAAGAACTTGGTTTGAAATACAAATTGCAAATGATGAAATTCAGATGTGCTAAAATTGAAATATGGGGACCTCATTTTGAACAAGGTCAACTATTAAAAAACGTTGCCGATTATTGGGATAATTTCATTCAACATTACAAATTAATACAATTGGATGTTGTAACAGCTTGTTTATTTCATCGAAAAAATGGCGCTGCACAAGCTAAATTAAAGGAAATAAAAGAACGTTGGGAACAAATGAATGCTCAAATTGAATATATTTTTTTTTCTAAAAGTTTGTTATAAACCGAAAATAACATTATTTGAACGATTACAGTGTGAACAAGAAGTCAAACAGTTATTCAAAGATCTTGCCACGGTCGGCACTTCTAGTAATCATTGTATTTATTGTAGAGCAAGAGCAGCAAATCATTTTTCAATATGTGGTCATACATATTGTACAGCTTGTTTGAGTGCAATGAGCACAAATATTATCAATACGTCGCAACCTTCTTCATTGTTACCACTTTGTTGTCCAGTAACGCAATGTCATACACCTATTTTTATTAAAGACTTAAAAAGTGTTTTAAATCGATCAACTTTTTCGAAACTTTGTTTATGCAGTTTAGAAAACTATGTTCAAGGTCATACTGGTCTGGGTATTGATTTATGTCCATTTGAAAATTGTCGTGCTATTATTATAAAAGAAAGTTCCTATAATCGATGTATGAACTGTTTAAAAATGGTTTGTGTGAATTGTAAAGTAGCTGAAGATAAACTACATGAAAATCGCAATTGTGAACAATATCAGACAGAAAAACAACGTTTGAAAGAATTAGCTCGAGCAAAAGAACAATTAGAAAATATTTATAAAATATTATATCAAAAAGCAGAAGAATTTGTGCAAGCGAATTGGCCACTAGATATGCCGAAAATGACAAGAGCGGATATCAATCCAGGATTGGCTCATAATTGTCCAGCAGCGCAACTGTTTATAAAAGGCGTTCAAAGTCTTAATATAGATCCAACTCAAATTTTTGAAGGTGGTCATTGTTCTTGGCATGGTACTTCTGAACAGGCCATTGAACCAATTTGTCATAATGGTTTTGATCCATCGAAAAGAACTGGTCAAGCTTATGGGAGAGGAGAATATTTTGGTATGACGGCAAATGTATCAAGAGGTTTTTGTAAAGATTCAACTAGACTCATTGTTATTTTCTTATTACGTGGAACACATTACAGTGTTCATGGTGAATATTGTTACGTGATTGATAATCCAATAAATTGGGATATAGCTTACTGTGTTCCTACACTCATAGTAACATTTGAACCGGAAAAAGTTCTCCGTCGTTTGTAATGCAAAAAACAGGTGATATCCATCAATGGGTATCTCCGTATCGATGACATTGGCAACAAGACAATGAGAAATATTCACCTTATCGTGATGATGTAAATGCAATTTAGAGACAGGCTATGACAATTGGAAACATGGTAATGGCCCAGTTGTTGTTCGCACGATGCCGATTATTCGTTTCATCGATGACAAACCACAAATATATGATATTGATTTTCAAAATAATCAACAACGGAATACGAACACTAGATACCCAAGAAAGATTCAAAGAGAAATTGTTAATATACCAATTAATCAAACAAATGCCACATGGAAATATCTCAATGAATATAATGTTTGGCAGAAATATGATTCGCTGGTAATGTCACAAATAGAACACGCTTTCAAAAATTATACTCAACATCAAGGGCCAAAAAAGGTATTAATTAGATTTTCAGGACTGCCAGACGAGTATGAAGTTGACTTCTGTTATACTAATTCCAAATTTATTCAGAGAAATGCAAAAAACTAACGCCATTCGTCAAATGGCACGTGACTGATCAAACGATCCCAAATCAAATACACACAGAAGATGACGATGTTTAAAAAGTTCCTCTTACAGTATTATATTTATTCCCTTGAATGGTGGACGAAACTACATGTAATCAAGCATGATCAGTTCTACAAACCAATCTCTTTGTAGTTCAATATTTGACTATACTGAAGACCTACTATATACCAAATTTTGCTTCAGTACATTATACTACAATAAATAATTTTTAACACAAGTTATTCTTACTTTACTTTAACAATTAAACGTATATGTATGTGTTTGGTCAATAATGGATTATAAAATAAATGAGAGAAAGAACAAAAATACACCATGCAAATGTCTATAAATCAGCATACTGTCTAAATTTGGGTAAAAGAGCGCTTATGGCAAATGAGACTGTTACTGCTATAAAATAAAAAAATAAATTATTACTTTGCATTTGATTATGTCTGAATTTCATCAAGTAAATCTGCATTTGCTCTTTATTTCAAAAAGAACAAATACACAATTATAGTAGTAAACGATAATTAAATATAGAATAAGAAAAAATTTCTATCCACGAAGATAAAGCAAATATTTCGAAAATTTAGATTTTAATTATAATCTACATATAACTCGAGCATTAAAAAACAAATATCTTTTATTAATATTACATTCTTACGGTCCATAGATAAGGAAGATCGCTAATATGCAAGCAGTAGCAATAAGTTTCTTGTGCGGAATATTAATCTAGCAATATTCATGTCTTAGCTTGATTAGCAAGAAACATTCAATTCAACTGATCAAAGCTGATTTCAACCAAACTTTTCTCATATGTAAAGGATACTATCCTGACAAAAAGTCTAAAGAAGTTTGCGCTATTAGGCTTTTCTCAATGGGTTGCAAAGGCTCTGAATTTTGTGGTTCTATGGTTTTTGTATAGACACGCTTTGCTCTGTATCTGTAGTATCTAATGACTTGAACTTTTTTATCATTATAGTACTAGTCGTATTACTTATAGATATTTTCAAGTAAATAGCTTGCATCTACGACGAGTTATTGAATATTTACCGAAAATATTTATGAATAATTGTGAAGTCTTAGAAGAAAATGTTTGTTATTTGAAAGAGCAGTTCAATTTATGACTGATTGTTATATTGTTCAATGCAGAATAACCTATGAATCTAAAGTTTTAACTTTTGAAGTTTGCCGCTCTGAAAAGACAAATGACAGAAATTTTAAATATTTATTCATTAGTAGCATTCAATCATGTAACAATCAGTTATACAGTGAGCTGCTTGTTGGGATCAT